TGGAGAATGGAGAGTGATGAGTAGAGCCCATGTACTGGGAGAGCCTGATTAGGAATTTGATGTAAATGGAAATTTAACTTATCATTGGATAAATAAATTATATGACAATAAAATCAAAAGGAAAGAGATGTGGTGCCGTGGCAAAATACTGTCATGTTAATTCAGAGCTGTAGAGTTTATTCTTCTATATGCGTACAATGAAGTTTAATTATAATTTTACCCGAATGGCCTCAATTGATCATCACTCCAAACCCTCGTCAGTATTATTAATGCGTTCTATTGAAGTAAAATTAAAAAAAAAAAAGTATGCCCTTTCAGAGAAATAAGATCAAGCTATTATTTATGTATTGGTTCAAAGGGGTCCAAACCCAAATTTCCATTACCATCAAGTAGGACTCAACACGGACCAATAATTTTAGCCCGCTCTTTGACCAGAACGAGGCGTAGACACTGGCTGGCGGCTGCTGCGATATTTCCGGGATATAGGATGGGAGGAGGAGTGGTGGCCGGCATTGCCGGCGGGGGCGGTGTCGTGAAGTGGCGGCGGGCTGGAGAAGAAATTAAAATTGAAAATTAATAAATATTAATCATTATTAATTTATTATCCACATTTTTTAATTCACCGTCACGTTAGTAACGGAGCGGCGGGCATCCGCGTCGGGAACTTGACGGGCAGGTGCGAGCGGAAATCTGATATCTTTTCCCCCAAGCTAACCCATTACGACTAAATAATGACATTCGCGGTCAGGCAAGTTCGTTGGCTTGGCACCATGGTTTGCAAAGTTTGATCGGCATAATTACAATTTCATATATGCACGACCCAATTGACTTGTCCTCTATTTATTTGCTAAAAATATTAAGGAACAAACCGTGAGCCAAAATTGAAAATTCCACTCAATCACATTCAAAAGTTATACGAAAGCACTTTGTTTTAGCAAAAGATAATCTTGTATTGATTGAAAAGAGATCGAACACACATTACATTTTTTATATAATTAGGAAAAAAAATAAAAAGAATGACAAGTAATTGGGTATAAAAAAGGCTTTTCTAACCCCTATTGCTATTATGACCTACAAATCTTACATAAAACCATTATAATTTGTCAACAAACAAAGAACTTCCTTAAAAATGGCTCCGAAATGATTATCTTGTTTATCGACTTATTTTCCCTTATCAATAATCACATTCGCATTCTCTACGAACATACGAGAGGCCACAATCCAGACACCATTGAATGACCTCAAGAAAGACTAATAATTTTACTATTGGTGGATTCATCGATATAATCTATGTATTTAACATATTAATTTTTTTACAATAAATAAAATTAGACGATCGATAAGGAAAAGAACAAAATAGCGGCCGGAGAAGTATTGTACGTACGTAGGTGTAAATTAAGAATTAACATAGACGCAAGTCGTGCGGTGGCGATTGCTCATGTTTTCCTTCCAGGCCACGTAAAATCAACGGAATATATTCCAACCCCATTTCCAAAAAGTACATGTAATCATAATAAGCATCTCCTACAAGAAAAGTTAACGTGTCCAGATTTTTGTGGCAAAGTCTCCAACCACCATGCATTTGCAAAGTTGGCTATGAGAGCAGTGCCATTTTAAAATAAAAAAAGAGCTTCTTAGGTCCTCTAGATTACCTCAGGCATACAAATAAATTTTTGATCTAGTGATAATATTATTAATTTTTTCGTCGAATACTTAATACAGTTTTCTTATACTCAATAAAATTTTATTTAAAGAAGAAAAGTAAATAAACAACTATAATTCTTATAATTTAACATCTTCCAAAAATAATTCGAACATATATAAAATAAAGAAAACCCTAGCCCTTTACTGCAGAAAAAAATGCAACCCTTTAGCTACTAAAAGTCATCTCAGCTTTCTGCGATCATCCCTCTCGAAATGTGGACACATTACTCGAATCTATACCGTGAAGGCTTAGGGCTATTTAATTTGGACTTTGGACAAAGGAGTGAGTAGTGAATTTGGAGCTCAAATCTTTACTGAATGAACATGGATATTCCTTCATTTGGCAAGCCCGACGTTGAGTCAACCGTTGATGTAATCTCAGATCCTGTAATCAATTTGTTCACCTTTTTTAGGATTTGAAATTACTTATAACGAGGAGGGATTGTGCAGTTTCTTAATTAATATTTTATCAAAAAACATGTAGACAACTAAGTCAGGAACTCATGCAGACAGACATACTTCATACTAATTATTATTTTTCCATACTTAATTAGCATTATTAATATTGTCATTATTATATTATGATGGGAATCATAGGGTGACAAGTCTATCTCATTTTTCATAATTACCCAACAAACTCATGAATTGAGTGGGTCGGATTTACTATCCAATCAAAGAGTACTGCCAAACAATTTTCCCTCTCAAAGCAACAAAAACACAAAATTAAACAATCGTGCCAACCTGCATATCTTATCACTTGAACCGCCTTTTGATGAACTTAAACATATTATCATCTTGGAACAAATACGAAATAACAAGCTACTCAAACTGCATGGATTTTTCAAATCCACTCACTCAGTCACTCTCCGCTAACAATCTTGCTTCCCAAACAAACCCTAGAACAAAAAAAAAGAAAAAGCTAAGCAAATGATGGGCTCCTTTTGGAAATTTAAAGGTGGGCTGGAGGGAGGAAAGGGGAAAAGAGAAAAGCTTTTGTCACGAAGAAGCGTCCATACTCCATATCCTACGAGTGGCCTGGAGTCGAGACAATAATAAGACACAGATATAGAGATAGATGTACTCATGACAACTACTGGAGTAGAAAAAGAGTATTGGACCATGCAAATGCAACTGTGGCAATGACTTTGATTTAGAGGACCACTCCGCCACCAGCCAGCTGTTTTAAACACCAACAAAAAAATCTAGTTTAGTGGTAATATTATTGTTCCTGAATTTGGATATTCTGACGTTCAAATGTTCGAGAATTATCTCGTTTTTTTATGCATATCACAAACTCCAAATATTTCATGCGACCGATCTAATTTAAAATCGTCTTGCTCGCTCGTCCCAACTCGAGATCATCCGACTTTGTTCATGGATATGCGAGTGAGTTGGGAGACAAAGGGATGCCATTATGTATATGAGAGGTGCAATTAGAATGGGCAAGTTAAGTTGAGTAACCAAAAAGGGCAAGAACTCACGTAAGATTGGTGCGTGTGCATGGTGGGAAAAGTGAAGGTTGTCGTCACTCAAAACCTTTTGCTTGTGTGAGTCTTTAATTTTATAGATGCTTTGGTCACCATATCTTCTTCTCCACTTCCATTCATTTTCTCGGGGAGGGGACTCCATATATATATATATTCCTTCCTTACTTACTTCTTCCCTTTCCCATTTCTTGTTTTCTTCGATCACTTTCATTTTCGGGTGTCTCTATGCGTAAGCTTAGAAACAACGCATGCACTAGCTAGGCTTTTCTTTTCAGTGTCTCCTTTAAGCTTTTGTTACCATTTTTTATGGCCAGATATGTCGTCCGGATGCAAAAGCTACTACCCGTTCTCATCATATAATAAGTATCTACTCTAATACACACTTCCTAAGAATAGGAGTCCGGATTAACCAATTGTTGTAATGATTTACGCGTGTCTATCGTCACCATGCAAGAGTTCCCCACGAAACGCTCTTAATAGTAGTTACCACAAATTAAGTAGAAAGTAAGCCTAGTCAACTTCAAAAACCTTTATTATCAGGAGGACATGAACTGTGGTTCTATGCAATTCATTGAAAATGAGTACAATTATCACATCCTCATATGACATGTTACCTATGTCATATGACGTGCTTTGAGGCTCCATACAACCAAGAACACCATCCTTATCATCGTCTCTCTCTCTCTCTCTCTCTCTCTCTCTCAATATGTGAATACAATAGCCGCTACTGGTCCTCCCATATCATATCCTATGCATTAACATGTATACTTTTATGCCCCCGTTTTCTTTGGTCCATACAATCACTTCTTAGTGGAGCTTTGGAAGCGCGAGACTATCTTATTTGGACGACTTGGAATGTACTTTCTTTTCCATGTATTGTTCTCCATGTGCACACCACACCAGTTACAAGAAAGAAGCAAAAAAAACCCAGGTTTGACTAAAGAAAAAAGGGTGGCAGCTAGCTGGGTAAACTCTGGAAGATCCCACATCTACTTTAGGCAAGGGGTGGTGAACTGGTGATCACCACATCCAAGATAACACAAATTGCAAAAATATCCCTCCATCCAGGGCAAACCCAATTGTCGAGGAAAAAGGGTACTTACCAACCAAGCTTTACAATGGTTTGGCTCGATGCATGTTTTGTAAGAATACTATTAGCAGTGCTTGACTTAGCAAGATATATAGTTTGCGCATGCCCTTAATCATCATGCTCCTAATTAAGATCTAGTTGGCGAGCGTATTGCAATTTAGCTCAGGAAGAGGAAGCCTTTAGGGGTTCATACATCCTTCGAATTCGAGTTAACATTGTAAATTCAGATAATTATATGAAGTGTTTGAGGAGGGTTATATGTGGGCATTTGAAAATGGCAGATATAGGAATGAAAAAACTTCAAACTACACAAATTGAGTTCAGATTTTGAAAATAGAGGCATCCTAATTTTTTTTTTTTTTGCCATTCAACCGATCTCAAACGAGATGGAGATAAGATCCACACACCGTCAATTCCAAACTACGTAACCAAGACACATAGTCGAACCTCGACAGGACCCGAGGCGACAAACTCAGGGACTTTTTGGCCACTAAATGAGCCTCCCTGTTCCTATGACGACCTACGAAACGTAGATCACAATACCCCCAAAACCAGCCAACAAGGCTTTGATCTCACGCAAAATTGCGCCAACCTTAGAATCATTGAAATTCCCTGCCAAACATTTATCCAGGATAACTTTCGCGTCGCCCGTAATAAATAGCGATGTGAGATGTCTTGTGCTGCATTCCTTGAGACAATCCCGAAGAGCTAGGGTCTCCAAAACATGAGCATCTTTAATCCCTGCATAAATGATTGTCGTAGTTGCAATTGGAAACACCATCCTGCATCAGACGAACCGTCCCAATAGAGGCATCCTAATTCCTAAGACTAAAAAATGGAGGTTTTGTCTGCGGTCTTGCTCTCAGCCAGCAATTGGCCCAAACTAGAGAAACTACTAGGCCCGCATTTTCCAGACCCGAGCTGCGGAAGTTGGCCCTCTGTCTTTGGGCTTCCCAGCCCAGGATTTTGGGAACTCAGAATAATGACTAAACCGGAACGGCCTGTTGGAAAGGATCCCACTTGCGGCATACGTTAGTACGTACGGGCAGCAACCGCAGTGGGCCCTGCAGGAGCTGCTAAGCCAATACCGTGCGAGTCCCTCCCACTGCCAGAATTTTCCCTCCTCTCTTCCTCCGTCAAAAAACAAATAATAATTCCGCTTGCCCGGCAAATCAGCAAATCTTGGAGAAGGGGTTAGCCAGGCCTCCCCGGCAGCTTAAATAAAACCCTAGTCGACAAATCGATCTCCGGCAAAGTCGAGTAACCGAGAGAAGTAGGGTTTCAAGGGTTCCGATTAGAACTCGTCGGAGGTTTCGGGGAATCAGCTGGGGGCGGCGGCCATGGGGATTATCAGGAGCGGGTTCAATCTCATGCTCGGTACGTTCTTCGGTATCTACATAGCTCAGAACTATAACGTCCCTAACATACACAAGATGGCCAACGCCGGGGTGGCCATCGCCAAAAGCATCGAGGAATCGTACAGGAAGCCGAAGAAGAGAGACGTGGAGGATTGAATTTGATTCTCTTTTCCTTTTAGGTCCGGTGTTGTTTCCTTGTTACGTCTTCGATTTGGCGGTGACAATTTTTGTCAGGGGATTGTTTAGGTCCTTTTTCCCCTTGTTAAACCTTTGTTTCTTATTTGCTTCAATATCGAACTTTGTCAATGGAAATCAGGGTGAATAAATAGAATTACTTTGCCTCTTTGCGTTCTTGCGATCTTTGGGAATTCTCAGTTCTACTTCAGGAGTCTCTTTATGCTGTTCATTACTCCAATGGCTATTTTGGATGTACAGAAGCTTCTTCCTTGTGTTTTGTTAAGCTTGGGTTGCGCTTCAAGAATCACAATGCTGGTATTATAGCAGATTCTGCTTCAAATTTGAATGCTTAGAAGCAAGCCATGTATGCTATCATTGTATACCGAACTTTCTTTCGGTTCTTAATCATGAATTTTCATGCCATTATATTGCAAAAGGAACAAAGTCGGAAACATTTAACATTTGCTGAGTGCAGAGAATGTGTTGTCGGCTGGTTATTAGTGCTAATGTGGACTTGTCTTCGCTTTATACTACTATCCGCAGATTGCTGTTCCTATAAGTTTATGATTGTCGATTGATTCACTTTCAAGGAGAACAACTCAGTTTCTTAATTGCTGTGAGACAGTCAAATATATTGGGTGAAGAGTGTGTGAGTGGACGTAAGTTATGCTTTAGTAAGCAGAAGCTCATTGGAGTGCTTCACCTCTTCCATTTGCTTCTAATTCTATGTGTTATGCTTTAGTGGTGAATGGCTGTTTGTACCAAATTCTGTGAAAATGACACAAGCCTATGAGTGCTTTGATTTTCTTGGCTAATCCATTCACTTGCTAGCTTATAGATAATCAACTAGGTTGATAATCCATAGTCTATGGTCTTTGGCATATTGACATTATTGTCTATGATACACAGTAGCTAAAATAAAGTTATAACATCTGAATGACTTGTCTGTGCAAAGAGTTAGCTGTAGTAAAGTAGTTGAAGCCTTTCACTTATATTCCATAACAACAGATGAAAATCTTATTACAAGATAACATATCCTGTATTAGCTGCGTAGGGTACACTGTATTTCAGCTGATGATTAGGTACTTCTATCCTGCATTGATTGAAGCTGTATCAACCATTGTTGGATGAGGAGCTATTGCCAGAGGTTTGATCGCTTTGTGCAATGAACGCCAGTCCGCAATGGTTGTGATTTTGTCGGAGTACACAATGGATAGTGAACTTTGGTCAAGAAGTTTCACTATCTCTACCATCTGGCCAAGGATGTAGACTGCTTCCCTGACACTGCCTTTTCTCTCTTCAATTGTGGTCTTCAAACACTTGCTGAATATGAATGGTCTCAAGTTAGTGAGACAAGCTGCCAATAGATCGGAGATCAGCACAACAAGTGATGGAAATAAGCTTTCCCCTGGAGCCATGTTGTAGTGCTGATAGTTTTTCAGAATGGTGCTGCTTATTCTATACATGGAATTAGCTGCCAATGCCTCGGCGTGCCATTCTGAAGGGTTGATCCTTGGGCATTCAGTTGGATATGCATTCTTAAACTCTGTAAGCCTGCTCTTTCCACCTTCAACTAGCAGTTCGAGTACTTCTCTTGTGCTTTTCGATTTCAATGATAGTTTATGAAGATCCACATCCAGCCATTTGTGGTATATGTCGACACCCGACCACACTTTAAATGCTGCTCTTCTTGTGTTAGTCAGCTCTTCTTTCCCATCCAAATGTTCTTCTATGAGTTTGACATACACGAGCCCCTCATGTACACTGCGCAACAACTGTTTGACCGAACAACTACTTATATTTGGGAGTGAAATTGCAATGGCTGTTAAAGTAACTATAGGAAGAGACCAAGGTTGTGGAGGCTCTTCACAATCCAGGCTGCAAACTTGGTCGCAGTCAATTTCTCTTACTCCCTTGAATCCTTCTGCAAAGGTTGCCCTTTTCAACAGGTCAGTGAGATGTTTTGGCTGTTTCTTTTCCCCCTCCCGCATCCAGTTATCTGTGGCAGTACAATTCTTCTTCATTGTCACTTCCACAAGTTCTTCCTCGCCTTCAAAATGCAAAACGAAGCGGCTTAGATCTAAGTTTTTGGTCTCCATGCTCTGATCAGCTGAAATGCTTTCACTTGGTAGCAGCTTCTTCAACTTGCTGCACGAATCACAGACCTTCACAATTATGCATGCACAGAAGATGGAAATGAATTGAATCAATTTGCATCCCATTACTATTCCATTTTGCGCTCGAATAATAGTGTCCAAGCAACTGCGCTTTGCTTCATGTGCAAGTTTTCGGAGTAGCTGGCTTTCGATGCGTATGAATGGACACTCTTTGATCTCTACCAGACACTGAATCCAGTACTTCTCCACTTTGAAACATATTCCTGTACAATTTATCTTCCGGTTTCTTGGCAACCTGTATAACACTGAACTGAACCACCTGACTGCTGGTGCCACACTACCAACCCCAACTGCTAAAGCCTGTGCGACGAGGACTAAAGTCGTTGACCATTGGTAGTCAGACTCCCCTGCACAAAATTTGAAGGATCCTGGCATGAAAAATGACCTCAGCATTGCCTCTGCAAGAACTGTGGTGCCAAGGAGACACAGTGCACCTGAGGCAGCACAAGTAACTGAACGCCCCATTACAAATTGAGGGTTGCTGGTGTGTGCCATTATCCAGAACTTCATCAGGTCTTCTTTCAACTCCTCTGGCGTTCTTCTATTCATATCCTTCGACCCCTCTTGCATAGCCATGTCACATTTCTTCTTGTACATGAACTCTAACTCTGTCTTGGTTGTTGCCACAGCTAAAGCAGATGAGCCCAAGATTAAGAGCATCACAAGCATAAGAGACATCACGCCAACATGCTCCCACCAGCAAACATAGATCACCCCAGTGCCCAATTGGATCGCTATGTTGACTAAAACAGTGACCACCAGTATTGCAAAAGCCATGATATTCATCATGATTTCCTTGTTCTGCACCGTTCCTAGCGAAGGCATCGAGTTTGCAATTACCACGCAGACCAACACACCACTGCTGAGTTTGGAGAGCTGGTCGTTTCGGCTGGGCATGGGGGTGTTGAGATCCACTGAGAGCTTGACTGCAACTGCTACGATGGTCAGTGAAGTTGCGTTGATGGAGAAGAACTTATTAGGGAACCAGAATTTCTTGTGACGGCAACTGTGGATGAAATCTGCAGCCATGGCAATTGCACAGGCTAGAGATGCTGCTGCTACATAGAGTCCAATCCATGGCAGAGGCCGAGTGTACTTTTCTTCATTCAGGTCCCCGTCAGCACTGCAACCCACCATTCTAAGCAACGAAGTATCTACTGGGTCAGTTTTCTAAAGCTTATGGGAAGACAAAGTTATGAGCTTTTTGAGGGTCAGGTCACTGTAGATTAGCAAGATGAAAGCTTTTCTCAGATGAAGCTGGTAAAAAGGTTTGATTGCCTTATCATATATCAGTCCAGTGATTGAAAATTTGTTTGGTTTGGACATAAAAGTCGAAGGCAGAGGTGTCCTGGTGAGTGGTGATGGTGACTAGGTTGTCTAAGTTTTTTCTCTTCTTTTCTTTTCTTTTTCTCCTTTCTTTTATGATGTCTAAGGTCTTACTAGAAATGAATGGTGCTGCAGACTGCAGAAGACTTGGAGCAGGGAGTGGTTCGTGGAATTATACAAGTTTGACTAGTAAACTGGAGAAATATTAGATGGAAGACAACAGAATTCGTATGCTGCCTACTGTTGTTTTCTTTCATACGAGAAAACAGAAGGGTCCCAACAAATGATGACGTCGTTGATCATATCAGCTGGAAAGCAGAGAGATTCTAGTGTGTTCTTTCTCGTGCAAAGTCTTTACGATTGATTCTTCACTCTACTATTTGACAGGTGGGTTCGGATTGCCTGCCAATTTCTAGCCGGTTTGGTGACTTTGGAGAAGTTCGATGGCCAATTCGTCCAGGGTACAAAAATTGGATGGTGCAAGGGTCTATATTTTACGGTCTCCTTAAACGCCAGCGTTTGGCATTAATACACAAGGTCGGCTTTGGAGCTGCTTCCCTCTAGGGATGGCAATGGGTCGGGTCGGGCGCGGATAGTGCATATCCGTTACCCTATCAATATTAGTTCGGATTTTACCCATACCCATACGGCATACCCACATGTGAAACGGGTATGAAAATCAAAACCATGCCCATACCCGTTCGAGTTTCGGGTGTCCACGGTTATCCATGGGTAATAATTTATCTTCATAACTCCAACAAATATATTAACATTCACACGTATTCTCACATTACATAAGAGAAAAAGTACGACAATAATTCACTAGAATGAAAAATAATAATTAAACTACACAATTTCATGAAAATATTATATTAATATGTTAAATATAAAATATGTTAGAGAAAAATAATGATTATTTCTAGACAAAATCCATATGCATGTGTATAATCGGGCGAGTTCGGGTTGGATAGTGAGAAACCCATGCCCACTCATTACCCGCAATATTCGGGTTCGGATTTTACCCGCACACACTAAATGTCCTTCGAGTTCGGGTTTTACCCTACCCGATTAGACCGGATTCGGGTGGATATCCACGGTTACGGATATTTTTGCCATCCTACTTCCCTCCCGGCATAGCATAAGCACCGATTCTGACATCAGCTTGCTCCACGAACGAATCCAGTACCGGCGCTGGTTCCGGCAGCCAGGTTAAAAAATGACGACGAGATCGAATTTCTACAAGAATTCCTCAATCTCATACAAGAAGGATTTGAGCGTCTCTTCTGTGATTCAGAACCTCAAAGGTAAAATTCTTCCCACGTTTCTGCACTTTCTGTTTGGATGGCTGGGAATAGCTATTATGAGAAAACCTTAAATCGAAAAGAATCAACCGAGAAGGCAGACAGCTCAAACTTCTTACAAATTTTTTTTTACTGGACCGTTCCTTGAGCCCTGTGTAGCTTATAACGTTGCAACGGGAAATGTTCCCGTGACCGATGACCAACCGCGCACCGGCGAGGGAAAGGAGGGTCGGGAAAAGCGAAAAGTTCGCGCCGAAAAACCTCCTCGACCTAGCAAGCGCCGGGAAGTTGAGGAGGATGATGATCGGCCGATGTCTCACCAGGATTACGTCGATAAAATCAGGTAAGATTGACTTCAGAAGTTAATTCCGCTTGTATTGATTTGAATGAGTGCTAATTGATTGGACTCGTCTTCAAACAGGAAAGAAGCCAGCTCATCTCAGCCTTATGAATCACTGAGTGCTGATGTTTTGGTAACTTTGGGTTTAAAAGTTGGAATCAATTGATGAGCTGGGATGGTTTCATATTGTTTCTTCATGGTTGTTACTGTGGCAGGAGAATTCGAAATCGGTGTTGAATTTGGTGGCCTATGGAAGTAAGCAACCTGGGGTTTTACATTTGTTTGATCCGTGCCTTTGTTCGTTGTATCAAGTGTGTTTCCAGTCAAGTGCTGTATCAATGAATGTGATTCGAAATGTTTCATTCTCTGACCTTATTCCCATTAGGCGATGAAAGCAGTTCTTCAGAATCTGAGGTGGAGGGTACTTCACAGACTGGTTTGTGCCTTCCTTTAAACGATTTATTTCAACTATTGTTTTGGTTTCTTGATGTACGACATTTCAAGTTACTTTGGCTGGGTAAATTTGTGTTCCAATTAACTTGAATAGAACTCTCATTTTATTGATTCCCAGACTGACCGAGCAGGAACTGGTTATGGTTATTGTCGAAATCTAGAAGTTTTAAGCAGGCCAGGCGTTAAATACTATATTTATGCCACTTCTCTACTCTAATTTCCTTTTACTGTGTACTGTATAGGTCAGACAAATGAAGTTGACCAAATCAAGACAAGAGACGAACAGCGGTTTCCAATTGCTGGAGAACCATTCTGTGTGGTATGCGGTAAATATGGGGAGTACATCTGCGACGAGGTGAAGTGTTTGCCTCATGCTTCTTCTCTTTATTGCTCTGCATATGTGGTATTGTTCCTCGTCCTGTAATTCTTGAACTTTCCATATCTTTCTTGATAGACAGATGATGATATATGTAGTCTGGAATGCAAGGCTGAGCTTATACGGAGGCTACAATGTGCTAAGGTGCTTTTGAAATAATATTTACAGTGCATATTAAAGATGTTTGCTGGCATTTTCTCTGATATGATGTCTGTGGTTTCAGAGAGCACAAAGCAACATTAACAGTGATGTCTCCCCATCTAAACTCCAAGGTGTACAAGTAATGCCTGAGTTTAGGGATGGCACTTGGGACTACAAACAGAACTGCTGGTCCAAACAGAGATCAAATCTTTGTACCTATGAATGGTATGCTTTCCTTCTGACATAAAGGTCTCAAATATCGCCTCTGAAGTTGAGTACTTCAAATATATTGCTACACACGTTACCCATAATGCTAAATCAGTAGTATCAGTTGAAATGTGGTATTGATTTCCAACTGGCGAGTGGATAACTCAGAATAAACTCTTCTCCTATCTTCCTGGGTGTCACTTTATTGATGCTCTCATGACCAACGTGCACTGCAGCTGGAAATGCCATAAACCTGGGCACCTTGCAGAAGACTGTTTGGCAGAATCAGAGGACCAGGTCAGGCATTCTGCTCTGCCCAGAATTAATAAAAATTATAAATTTCGCTCTCTTGTGAAGTAAAGGTGGACTAGCAGACTGATTTCACTTATCAAAGTAAGCAACATGCAGGCTTTAGCTAGGAGATCGAATTCCATATCTAAGGATCTCCGTGGACTTTACAGAAGGTATCTAAAATGTTAATCTCTGCCTTCTTATCTTATGTTGTTCCGTTCTATCTGCTTGACATGTGTTTATTAAGTGTATTGCTGAAAGTTGTTAGTAAGAATGCAGTTAAGTTTCTGAAGGTAGTAATTATTTTGTGAGATAGATAGGATAGCAATGGATATGTCATGTTGAGATCATGTCCTCCCACAGTGCTGCTGTCTTGACATGCAAGCTATGGGGCTTGGCCCTATTTGCGTGGTGTCTCTAGCATGGTTCGTTTTGTCTGCATTGGTTTGTTTTTATGTTAATACGCGTTAAACCTTACCACTCTTCATCTGGACCATTCTGTAACAAAATAAACTTGCAGAACTTCGTATTTTTCCTTAAGTGTTCACTGGCAGCTTGACTAGTTAGCCTAAGAAAAGGAAATTGCTTTTGTCTTATGCCTTCATGTTTGAGGAATTCACATGAATCGTGTCTGGCCATGTTGTGCTATCTTTACGTCCGCAGATGCCATCAGATGGGTGACAAATTATCTGGAGCAAACTGCAGCTCATGCCGCAGCTCTTTAAGCTTAGCTACTTGTCTGGATTGCAATGCTGTCTTTTGTGATGAGTAAGTACCATGTTTATATGATTGTTCGGCAGTAGCTATTTTTCCCCCTCCCTTCTAATGGCATCCACCATCTTTCATTAATCCCTCTACTCTAATTCTTGATCCATTGCTTCCCATCAACATGCTAGACGTTAATTGATTTTAAATGCTGGAATATTAACATGGTTATACAACTTAGCTGGTGAAGGTCTAAGTAATTGTTTGGTTCCCACTCTTAGGTAGTACTATTTGGATATTCTTGGTATTGTTTATTGGTCAAGTCCTTGACATTTTGATCCATAGTTTGTGTGAGTAGCTCTACTCTTTGATGCTGCTTTGCTTCTGCGCCTATAGATTTGGTCATCTGTTGTAGAGGGGATATGTTGAAACACCATCTCTTTGCTAGATTTGCTTACAGGCAATCTGATCTTCAGTGCAGGACACTTAAATGAGCATATCAGGACGCACCTATCCCATCAGCAATATTACTCCCATAAACTTAAACGACTTGTAAGTTTTCTCTATGAACAGAAGAATCTACTAATCGAATGAATCAACAGTTTTTCTTTGTGAATGTTTGAGCAGCACTTTGTCTTGTTTATATTATTTACTTATTTCTGCATAGTGGAGTACAACTTAGCTGGCATGGTTCAACATGTACTAATGCAGGTGAAATGCTGCAAATCAACATGCAAGGTGACTAAGATGAGGGATCTTTTGGTTTGCCAGTTCTGCTTTGACAAAGCTTTCGACAAGTTCTATGATATGTATACCGCAAGTTGGTATGAAACGTCTCTCACTGATCGCCCCTTCCCTTTTCCCAGACTTGATACTGATTACATTATATATATATGGCAAGTGCAGGAAACCTACTGGACTTTCAATCATCTCGGGTTCTATTTGCTGCGAAGATCACTTTGAATGGTAAGCCTCTATGTACATCTTCGATACTCTTTGTCCTTCGTATTCGTGGATGCCTCATCCGTCAAGGTGAGCTTGGTTGCTTTGATTTGGCCAGGCATAGAATGAATTGCTTGAATGCAGACCTTGAAGAGAAGGCATATATTCTATCCAGAAGTCCACAGAAGGGCAAGTCCGTTCAACTAAGCGACTTCATTTTCTGAGAAGCAAAAATTACTTCCCTGAAATTGTCCTAGCCTTTTCCGTACGCAACTGGTGAGTGCGAGTGTATCATTGGAAACAAAAAGTTAGGAAGGCAAGATCGAACAAAAATTTGGTATCTCTAATTATACTATGGGTCTTTTGGAAGTTGTTATTGTTAAATAGATGTATTGTTGAGAATGCATATATAATATTATACATGTATTGTCAAATTTGATGCATTGTAGAATACAACGTTTGGTATGTGTGATTGTGTATGTCGCATCAGCTAAAAGCTGAGACAAAACAATCTCAACTCAACTATCTCAATAATCACAACTAAAAGTTGAGATATAACAATAACTCAAAATGAGTGATAGTTTCTGTCACATCACAGAAACAATCCATGTATTGTTTTTGTTAAAAAAAAAACGATGCATTGTAAACAATATATGCATAATGACAATCTCAACAAAACTATCGCAACTTTCAAACGATCCTATGTTTCAAAATTTTGGCATCTCCATTAAATTGAATTGCTTGCTGGCCTCTTTCCTCCCTCTTTGTGAAATGGCGCCCAACGTGTCAACTTTCTCCAATTCTCGAGCTATGCATGTAAAAGTTCAAACATGCAGTTGCTCAAAGCTATTTTGTATTATCATGAACCTATATTAGATTTAAGACTATGAATATTTAAGTAAATATTTTATTTTTATACTAGCTACTATAAATATTGCGAATTAATAAAAAGCATTTTGTGAGAAATAATAGGGGAGAAAGACATTTTCAAAAAAAAAGAAGAATAAATAGCACTTTTATAAACGGTGCGAGGGATCCTCAAAAAGAAGTGAAAACGGTTGAAGGGGAAAAGTATAGAGAAGCAAGGAAGGCTGGTGTAGACACCACTTTTTGTCCAGGTTAAAACATATTTAATCAATTAAAATTTAGATTCAGTTTAAGGTTTGCTATAGCAAACCTTGAATGGCCTTCTAGCTTAAACATACTTGTAATGCTTGGGTTGAGTCCAGTTTGCAATTAGTCAATGAGATTAGCAATAGCAAATCTCAGTTGGTACTACCTATTAGTAACGGAGTTGACGTGTTTAGACGAATTAGACTTGAGTTCGATTTTGGTTGTCATGCAAGTGACCAATTCTTAAAACATTGAGTCTTGTGAAATTGGGTGCAATTCCTAAATAATAAAATAAAACTCATATAAATTATATTAAGATAAATACAATACTAAATAACTAAATCATGATTACAATGCATAACAATTACAACCAATTCCCCTACAGTAAACTATTTACAATTGTACAACAAAAGAAATTATAATTATATAATAAAAAAATTGGGCTCAAGTCCAAGCCCAAGCAGCAGTCAACTCTTGTCAATGCAAGTCAACCGGCCAACCCAAGGTTGAATCAAGGCCCAGTCAGATCAACCAAACCCAAATCAAGTCCAAAGTCAGGTCCAAGGTCAACAACAGTCCAGGCACAAGGCCATTTTCTGAACAAGCCTACTAATCAACTCGGTTCGACTAGAAAACAACAGGGTTTGGTCCAACCAAAATTACCCGACCCGTCAACTTTGGCTATAAAAGAAGCCCCTTGGCTCTGCTTTCGGACATACACAACAGATAAGGGTAAGCTGATTAAAATATCTTCTTCTTCTTCCTCATTTTTTTCTTTCCTTCCTACAATAAACAGACAGTTCCAAAGAGAGAGAACACTGAAAAGATAGCATACCTCTCTTTTTCCTCTTTCCTTTTAACCAACAGATTTCAGAAAGAAACAGTGAGGAAACCTTTTACTTTTTTCTTTTCCTTTTCCTTAAGAAAAGACAGTAAAAGCAAGTTCTGAGGTGGAGCACAGGTCAGAGTAGACAACAAAGAGAAGGCGCTAACACCAACACCAAGAAAAGTCAAAGATTGGTAATTTCTCTATACCAATCATTATATCCGTACATCCATTCTTCTACCTTTCTAAAAAAAAGCTCTCGAGAAACACTCAATCGACTCAAAAACTCCCTACAATAAGACAGCTTCACTCACCATGATAAATATTTTGTCAACACAAGCCTACAAAAATCAGATTGAGTGTTTCTCTAATCAGTTTCATCATCCATGTATTCTCATTAAGACTTTGACTATTTTCCTTGTGATGCCCTGTTTGATTAAGCTTTACTGAGTTTGTTTCATATCCGGTATGATTTTTAACATCTCAACTTATCAGAACATAGATATGAAAATGGAAACATTCAACATAAACTCAAGCTTAGGGAGGTATTTTAGAATGCCTCTTTGGTTTTAAAGAGAGCCCTAACTAATCTTAAAACCTACTTTACCAAAACCATAAACACTCACCAGTTTCTTGGTCCAAACCCATTTTAAAGTCTACAACATTCAAACCTATACCACGACAATACAATATAAGACTTCTTAATCACAAGCAATAGCAGTGGTTTTTCATTTAACAGGTAACTTCTATACTTTTGATTTCCTTCGTTTTAACCATGTTTAGGAAACCTTAAAAGAAACTTTCTATTTGGAGGGTTCAAAACCATTATAACCAATCAAGTTTTCCCCTAACTAACAAAACAGAGTCATACATGGGTTTAAAAGGAGCTTCACTCTTAATCCCAATTTTCAAACCGAATCTCCACCATTAGAACTACCATAAACCCACAAATTTTCCACATCCAAATCCATAAAGCCATCAGGCTAATACCAAATTTTCTTGAGTTACACATATTTCCAACTGTAAACCACCATAATCATTTTCAAATCAATAGAACATCTCAAACGAGGTTAAGCAAACAGATCCAGAAATAAAGATTACCAAAACAAACTCACCCTTTTGTCATTGTTATCGGGGTCGGCGAAATATAGATTTTCCGGCGGTGGCCATTTATCCCCTCACTTGTCTGCCTCTCTTTCCCTTGCCATCAATCAGACCGACAAAGAAAAACAAAATAAATAATTAGAATATTAAAGAGCAAGAATGACAACTTTTTTTCATGAAAACCAGAATAAAAAAATCTTACCCGTCTGTCGTCGACGAGGGAGTCACCGTCGGTCCCACGCACCGCCTCAACTCACCGTCGTCGACGTTCCCCTGGTTTCTGGTACTCCTCCTTCTATAGCCGCCGCCGACAACCTCTTTCTCTTCCCTTTTTGATCGTATCTAAAAAAACCAGAAATCAGAAAAGAAACACATATAAGACACTTGCTCAAAGTCGAAATCGAACCTCCAAGTTTGACATGCAAACCCAAAATCTAGATCTTACCTTCGTATGCGCTGTCACCGTCGCCGGCGTCAGGAACCGTCGGTCTTACCATCGTCGTCGTTTGTTCTTTCTCAGCTTGTTGTCGTTATCACAAAGAAGAGATGGGGGGGGGAGCAGATCGAAAGGGGTCAAAGGGTAGAAAAAGGTAAACGAGGGTAGAGGGAAGGAGGTAGGAGAAGAATCGTGATCACCGTCGAGTTATTGTACTCTAAGAGAGCGAGAGCGAAGAGAGGGGATGAGCGGTGATCACCGTCGAGTTATTGTACTCTAACCACCGTTGACAGCGTCGAGTTTTTCCTTTTTTGTCGATCTTTTTTTTTTTTTTGTGTGGAGAGAAGAGAGCGAGAGCGAAGAGAGGGGATGAGCGGCTATTAGGTTATTACGCCAACTGCCAAAAATAAAATCTCTTCTAAATTTCGAACCATTGACCTTAAAGTCGTTATAAATTTCAATCTAACATTCTAAACCATTAGGCTGATCGCCTGCCACTTGTTCACCTAATAACGTGAATCGATCTAAATTTATAAATCTGTATACTGAACTTTTTAAAACTCCTTAATACAAAATGTCGATGGTCAATATACCATATTAGCATTTTCGTGTTAAGTTTCTTCTAAAGTCTGAAACTGGATTTCCAAAGGATCGAAATTTGATCCACCATTTTAAAATCTCAAGCCTTAAACACGATCAATAAAATGTGTTGGGTTTTTCTCTTAAAAACCTATCACTTAACTAGGGGTGGGATTCGGTCTGTAAACAATTTACCGTTTACCGAATTTACCGTTTTCGGTATACCGAAGTTGGCCAAACTGTTTACCGATTACCGATACCGGTTTGTAACCGGTTTACCGATTACCGAATTAACGGTAAACGGTTACAAACCGATATTACCGAAATACCATGAGAAGCGATTTCAGGCGGTTTTTCGGTCGGTTTACCGAATATTTACCGAACCGAATTTCTGGAAGTGGGGTGATGTTGTAATATTTTGATTTTTTTGAGTTTTTTTCATCATTTTTGTAATTAATAATTTATTATTAACTCTTATTTACAATATTTTTGAGGCCTATACTTACATTCATGTATGTAATATTTTATATTTTTGGGGGTAAAGCAATAAAACGCTGCGTAGCACTAGGGAGTAGGGAGGGGGGATTCGGTATCGGTAATACCTATTTACCGTCGGTATTTACCGATACCGTGTTCGGTAAACCGACTCCCCCAACTTTCCGCTCGGCTGCCGATACCACCGGTAAACGGTTTACCGTTTTACCGAACCGGTAACGGTAAACCGTTTACCGGATTACCGTTTACCACCCCTACACTTAACAGAACTACGTGGACTTTGATCCCGACTACTCGGGTACATAGGTAACCAATAGGTTTGAGTCCAACTAACCAAAACTTTTTTCCCCACACTTAACCGTACTCCCGAACCCAAAACTCTAAAATTTCGCAGACCAAATCCCGGTTTTGACCCTAAGGTCAAAGTCGGGCCAAATAGTCTTCGACCCACTACAATGTAAGGTAGATGACGGCTCCGAGCAATTCGCGACAGATCCCTTTCGATTTCGAGGGAAGGTTGCGATAGCTGGCATGGAGGGAGTAAAATCTGAAAATTCTTTAATGTTTTAAGATTAAGATTTAAGATTTCGTTGAATGACTAATTAGTAATTTTTTCCGTTGGTTGAATTACATTTTTGTTAGCAGAAGTAATCTCAACAAAGCAATAAACGCAACCAAACTAATCTTTTTTTGGTTCAAGTAACCTCCTCCTTCACTCATCCTGTGTTGCCTCCTCCTAGTCCTCTTCAGTTATAAAAAGCTAGGTTGTGTGTGCCTTTGAGTTGGGAGCCCGGGACCGGGACTATAAATATGTTGGATGAGTTCATAAGTGAGAACAATAAGCAAGGACGAGAAGGAATAAGGAACCAGAAAGAAAACGTAAGATGACTTGATTAATTCTTTGTCTTTGACTCAGTTTCTTTCTTTTTCTTAATTCTATTTCATCCATTCGTATGTTCTTCGTTCCAATTCAAAATTCAATTATTTTTATACAAAAAATTCCAATTTTATATCATCTCTGCAATGATATCCATTTTAATGTATCTTCAAACAAAAAAAATATTCTACTAAAATATGGTCAAGGTCGCATGCCAAGTCACTATGCCACGATATTTCAGAATGATACTTACATGCCTACATGGTATCTATTTTGCATGATCATGATATATTTTTATGTCACGGTCGGATAATTAAATACCATCATGATACATGATATTTCCATGTCCGTGGGGGAATATTTTGTCGTAGGAATTTTTGTTTCAATGCTCATTTAAGATTTTTTTTATTTTGGTTTAGGGTATATACCAACGATTGTAAAACCGTATCAGAGATTGTGCCGGATGAGTTAGTGGTAGAATATTTTGTGTTTAAACTGTAGTTTAATAGTTTCATACTGATCAAATCCTATACCGACTTCACTCCAATAGAAGATTTTTCGTTCGAGTTACTGGTATGATTTAACAAACACAAGTATAAACTCAATTGCTTAATGTATGGGTTAGGAATGGTCTTTGGTGCATGGTATTAGTGAATAGTGACCAATATTAAGTGTAAAGGTATGATTACATTTTGAGGTATATGGCTAATAATAATGGGTTTAGAGACAATAGTCAATGTATTATGTATTCAACACTAGTTGCTTTAGTTTCGATGGTTATGTATTATTTATTATGAAAAAGTTCAGTTGTGGAACCAATTTTAAAAGAAAATATTTATTGGATAATCATATTTTAACTATATTTCATCCAGTAGGTAGGCATCTGAATGAATAAACTAAACATATTTTAACTATATTTCATCCAATTTTTTGGATAGTCAGGCTAAACCTTGATTTTAATGTTAGGTATTTAGGGATAGCCTTGGTGCATTTTCGAATATAATTTAGCTTGGTGTGAAGGCTTAGACACTATGTTTAATGTTATGCTTTAGAGATAGTATTTGCCGCATGGTAAGGATTCGATGTTCCGTGCAAATGGTTAAGATTGGTATATTGTTAATGGTATCATGTTGAGATTCTATAGCGTGCCAATTAGGCATTAGTTGCTAGCTTTGATCTCAATGTTTATGCATTGTTTTATGATGAAATGCTTAGCTATATAATTTCTAATCTACAACTTTATAAGTAGTCGTATGAATTAATAAATTGAACATATTTTTAACTACATTTCATTTTAGTTTGGTTGAAGTGCTTTGGAAGCTATCTATCTATTTTCTATCTATCTATCTATCTATCTATCTATCTATAACTTATATATTATGGTTGTTTTGTAGCAACATTTCGCCACCAAGGATTCTAGAAACTCCTCAATTTTCCATGTCACCTTTTATCATTTTAATTTTCCCAAAAATTTATATGTTACACTAAGC